GAATTTTTTTCTGGCCCGCATCGTGGCAAAAATGTAATAATTATTTATAATTAATGAGTGACTGTACAAACAAAAAAATCTAGTACAATCATGTACTAGCGATGTACAATCGAATACATAAGATAGTTTTCCTAATTATTGTACCCTTTCTGCTACACGGGGTACACGGGGTTACACAATGGTTGGCTAAGTGGGTACCCATTAGGATGAGAGAATTATCCCGACGACCCTTGTAATAGACTGGCTCCCGACTACCTGAAGGTTGCCGGGCCCTGCTTCAATACAGTAAAACAGGTTGTCAGCGGCCGTTTTTTATTTTAATATTGGATCTTAATTTAGTAAATATCGTAGTAATTTACACCTGACAATAATAAAAACATCTGAATTAATTTCTGTTGAAAAATTTCATACCGCGATAACAGCCCATCCATTTTAAGAATTCTTTATTTTCGTGTATAATAATATCCATAATTAGTTGAAGCATAAGTACATTGTTTTTATGAAAAAGAAAGCCAAGCAGCAAATAGCCTATCAAATCGCGCGCCAGAGAATCCTTGAACATCCTTAACGTATCATAAAACTGGCGGTAAAAAGAAAGAAAATTAATTCTTCAGAAAAACCGTTTTTAAAGTTTATGTGTGGTTTATTTCGGTGAAAAACGACGATTAGGCTTTCAATAAAGTAACGGTTGTGTGCATCTGACAGCGAAAACCTGATAGTAAGCATGTTCTTGAGTGATTTTCTCAAACTTTCTTTGTCATCAATGAATTGATGGTATGCTTCTGAACGGCTAGAGAAAATGCTCAAATCTTCGTATGTACTGCCATGTTTTGAAAAATCAATCTTACAATCTCTTTCCTTTAATTCTAAGTATTTCATTACCGAGAGGAAACTTCGGGCTAAATTTCAAGTCAATGCTGCAATTTTTCGAAACTCTAGTAGGCCAACAAAATTTTGTGAAACAAGTGGGGAATGCCATTATAAGGAACTGCGTATAGCTGTTGTTGCTTAGAAATTAGAAACAAACCTTCAAATGGATTTTCTGAAAATTGGAAAATAATAGGGGTAGTTCCGTCCTCTTTCGACTTGAATAAAAATGCTTTGAGGAAAAAAAATTGAGCAGTCATTTCATTGATATTGCTCATAATATTTGCCATTGATCAAGATGAAAAAAAATCTCATATAGAATATGCTATAACTTAACAATAAATGATACAATCCTCTTCATATTCTGATACGATCAAGAGCCTATTAACGTCAATTTTTTAAGCGATCATTGTTTCCTCTCTGATGATAATTTCTTGAGTTATCGTTGAAAATCAATTTTCGAAAAAATACGAATGTTTCCGAATCTTTCTGCCGATTTCAATTCCAATTGCTGTTGATGGATGGAGCGCATGGGAGTCTGTATTCATAGGGAAGTTCATTAGATTCTATTACTCCTTTGCAAAAAAATTTTTACCAAACGAAAAAAAAAAATTCAGTAAAAAATTACGGATTCTTTTGAATTGTCATGGAAATTTCAAAACTAATCAGTGTCAATAGATAGAGCTTCCAAAAGTCTACATTCATTGCGAACAATTATGGTATTCTACCAATCCCTAGTGAAGAAAAACAGAGAGCGAAAGCAAAAAAAACACACACATACACACACACATCCATGCATGATGCACACATGTATTTACACAGCGATCATATAAAAACCGCAGATGCGGACTTTCTAGGCTACATTTAGTTACCCTAACACAAATAATTTGGAACTTGAATATGGTCGAATGCACAGCTTCCCTTGGGAAGCAAAAACGGAAGAATGGAAATATCTTAGGAACTAATTATTTGATTTAGCCCTCTTTCAATATCAAACATTTAATTGCCAAGCGGAAATTTCATGCCAAATTTCAGGTCGATGAATCAATTTTTCGTAACGTTACTGTGATAACAAATTTTTTTTTAAGCAGTAAAAATGCTATATCTGGAAACTTAATATAGATGTCTATTTATAGTTTGGTAAATTGAAGAGGAATACAAAAAGGTTGGATAGTTTTCGAGATATTCAAGCCAATTGATTTTTATATAAAGTAGAATATTTCATGAACTAATGACCCGATTCAGCCATTCTTCAATGACCATCATTTCATTGTCAAGAGGAAATTCGATGCCAAAGTTCAAATTGATGAACCAATTATTCACAACGTTACCATGTTATCTTTTTTATGGAGAACACGGAAAAATTGGAATATCTCGAAAACTTGGTGATAACGTATATACATACTGTAATCGACTAAGATAGACTACATCGAGGCGAACATTTTTGAGAGGTGAAAAAAATGAAATCGGCCTGATAGTTTTCGAGATATGTACTCGAAATTGTTCATAACGAAATGAAATTCATGAAAACAGCTCGACCGATTCTGTTAATGTTGAGTGAATATTAAAGTTCTGCTTGATTCGTCCCCAAATAATCTCGCCATTCGTTTGTTTCTTTGGTAGTGATTATGTTCGCAGGTTTCGAGATCCTGGAGTTATTTTGCTACAGTGATTTTATTTTGTTTTGACGTGTTTCGGGTTATCATTCAACCGTATTCATGTAGACTAGTCAATGTTGTACGCCCTTAATGAAGTTTCGAATGGCTGGATTTTCTCGACTTACTAGGTTAATTCTGATTGTATCTCTCAACACATTCTATTTTTACGTTTAATGTTTTAGTCAGTCAACCTCATTATCAAGATTGTCTTAAATTATTTGGACTTTGTTTATTGTATTGACTTTCACAATTTATTCTATTAGTTAATGTGTTATAGTATTCGGTGAATGGTAGGTCTATGTAGATTCTATTTTATTTAGAAGGGAATTCTATTTTACTTATTTATTTTTATTTTGTATCGAGTTGGCGCCATTAATTAGATAATTTTATTTCCAATTGTTGGTTGCATTGCTTTAAATTTAGGTTGAAGCTTCCGTCTCATTCCAATTTCCAATTTTCAAGTTTTTCAAGGATTAAAATCTCTACATAACGAGTAGTTGGTGGGTAGAAGGAGCTGAAATTGGAGGATTCCTTTTCGGTGGTTGTTCCGATTTTTGAAGACTAGGAATCTTTTTTTTTGGACTCAAGGTTCGCTAGCTCCAGAGGACTTCGCAATGGAACGAGCTTTTCCGTAAAACCTCGGAAACTACATGACAACACATAAAAAAATATTTTTTCGAAAAGTAGAAAAAATTTTCGATGAAATTGGCTGGACAATTAACTGGAATCCGTGTTTTGACAAATAACCGACAAAATCTGTGATTTTGATTTTTTTTGTGCACCATAAGAACTACTAATTTAATTTGGAAAGATTTGGAAAGATTATATGGAAAGAAAAACAAAATGTTCGATATTTCCATCAATAATTGAGATAATCATCTCCACCTGCGCTCATTTTCCTTCAATCCGACAACACTATTTGATAAAAATACAGAACGAAATTGAAAGATTTGGAGATGATTGTCGTGCTGAGTATCGGTGAAATGAGAGGTATAAATCAATAATACAAGTACGGGTCAAGACAAAAGTAAAAACCACTAATAGTGAGCGCTTATAAGTGTGGATATAACCATTATTTTACTGTAATGGTGTATTATATACTGAAGTCAACATAAGTTTTCCTTTTGAGAAAATGAGCGGGGAACATGAGTTTATATGTAAAATTGATGTGGTGGGGGTAGGTTGTCAAGGCAAAACTTAAGTTGACTTCAGTATAGCCTTTGCCGCTATTCTTTTGCTCTTTACGAGATGAATCAATTTAGAAGCATATCAATAATAAAGTAAAATAAGACAAGTAAGATGATTTATGGATAATCAAGAGAGTGTGAGATATTCAAAAGAAGCAACTCTATGAAACTGAACATTTACAAAAATCTCGCAACCCGAATAATAATGAAAGTCAATTTTTAGGGTGCTGCTGATATATGAGATTAGGATAAGTTAGGAACTAATGCTTTATTAATAGCGAATTACTCTTTACGTAGCGTATATTTAGGAGACCATATAATTCATTGATCAAACGCGATCTTTAGTTTAAATTCAACTATGTTATCATAGAGCACGTGCAACGGGGTTTTGGAAAAAACAAAAATGTGGAATCAAAATAGAGGCCATTGAGATAAACATTTTAAAAGAAAAAATTGTTCAATCGGTCGACTAGTTTTGCAAATATTTACAAAAACTTTTGAAAAAAAAGGCTTTTTCTCGGGAATTATTGGACTGGTCAAGTGGATTTCACGGTCAGAGTTAGTTCAAACTGGGACCTGTAATTTGACAAAATTTCATATTTTTTGGATTTTTTTTGTCCTCTTATTGTTGTATTTTCTAAAATTTGATTTCCAGAAATTGGTGAAAGGGGGGGACATACAAACATGTTCGTCTAACTTCATATTTTTGCATTTCAGACCATTCTGCATCATTTCCAATAAAGATGAAACAATGTCAAAATTAAATGATTACAAAGCTTCCATTCGGAAGCAAAAAGAGGAAAAAATTGTTGAAGCTGGAGAGATCTGAAAATTGATTGCAAAGGATCTGTCCAGTTTACAGAAAATTAATTAAAAATATGTACTTTACCAGCCACAGTGATAGGAGACAAGAATAAATTGGACAGTTGATGACAACATAGAATGAAAATGAACTGCCCAATATTGCTGATGATAAATTGCGTATTTTTAAGTATTTTTAGCCGGAAGCTTGGCAAATCACTTGGAGTCAATATCTCGATCCACCACCCTTTGACGATTTTTTCTCTTTTTAGAGAAACACTTTAGGCTAACAACATAAAATTCAAACTGAAGATTCAAGTATTAAATGTTCCATAGAGAGTACATGCGGGCCTTCAGTTGATTTATCGAAATCTGAGTATGGAAAGCCGTTGATTCATTGAAATCACCCGGAAAAGATTAATTCGAAACATGTATTAAGTATGTACAGTAAATGTGGGACGCATGCACTTGAGTATTTCATGTTTACCTGTCTGTAATCCTTAAATTGTGAATGGTAAGCCCCTAAAGTTTGTTTAAACTCAACGGGCCTCACAACACTATATCTCCCCGACCACATTTTGCTTAGCAATGAGCTGAAATTGTCCATCAAGGATCCTGGTAAAGGAGATTTCTCATCTCCCTGTTGCATTTGCAGAAAGTAACTCAGAACAGGAGGCGTTGCGGTAAGACATTGTAGCCCAGCGGCCATGAAACATGTGTTCCCAAGGTTTCGAAGACCACAAACTCCAGCGGGGGTTGCAATTTCTACAAGAATGTAAGTATTTATACCATCCCAGAAGACTTTTTGAAATTCCTGAAATATTTAAGTATTGCATTTAAGTCTTCCCAGAAAGTAAAGCCAACTTTAAACTAAGCTTAGTCTTTAATGGATACCTGCGTATCTAAACAAAATAAAGCAGCTTTCATATGCACCTATTCTGCACATTCGTAATTTACTCATAAAGACTGTTGAATTCCAATTTTTTATTTGTTTTTAATCTTTCACTAATCATATGTGAAAAAAATTAATTGGTACACACAGAAATCAAGTCAACGTTTGAAAAGTTTCGTTGTTCAACGATAAGTTTTCAGGTATTGTGCGTCCAATAAGTATCTAAACCCTCAAATACGTTCTCAAAAAAAGACGAAATCTATACCAACTCGACTGAGCTCCGTTAGCGTGTTCTACACCCATAGATAACTACAATGAGCATTTTTCCATTTTTCTGGCAAACTTGCTATGGGATTGACGTGAAAGAATATAACGTTTGTGCGTTTTGTCATTATTTAATGAATCACGAGTTTTCAAGGTGTCGCGAGCATTGTATTTTTTAGAAACTTCTAAAAAGGATAACAAAACTGAAGAGAAAATGCTTGAAAATCATGATGCCACTACAATATTTCGTCATCCATTAAATAATGACAAAATGCGAAAAGGTGGTATTTTTATAAACCGTGGATTTTGGCTATATATATGGGTGTGGAATATCCTTAAATGAATTTGTATCTTTATAACACTGTGTTCCTGATTTTTAAATACTCACCTATAACTGTGTGTTCCTGAATATCTGTAGTATTTGAGAATAAATTATTAAGGGTTGAGGTTGGTGGATAGAAAGGACCATGGTCAGCACCAGCATTTTCACGAGCTGGTTCTGCGCCTATATTAACCATTGAACCGTCGAGCGCCTCAGGAGGAGGGAGGGGAATCGCTACACTGACAACATCAGATCTCGAACAGTTTGCCGCAGCCCTAAGGAGTATACAAAAAAATTTGAAATAATTAATGAATTTCAATATGAAATAATGACAACAGCAAAAACTTCTAAGTTATCCAATATTATGCTCACCAGGTAGTTTCAATACCCATGTTCACATGAGCAGTGCAATCCTTATCGTCTTGTATCGCCAAGTGATGATTGAGGGAATTAGCAAGAGGACTGAGACTCGTTGATTCCGATTCTAACAACTCTGGGATATCAGACAGATCAGCTAGGCCTGATGACTCTATCATTGAAATCTCTCCCACTCCCGAACCACCCACCTGATTGTCCATTCCACTGATTTCCTTGAAAAAATTGAGCAATATTTATATTAAATAGCATAGAAAACGAACATATTTAATTACACACTATGATTCTAGTCATTATAAAATATCATGCGCTGTATAACCATGTTTAAATAGCTCTAAAATGTTGCTATTTAGTTTTAGATAATCTGCACATATCTACTGAATTAATGCACCCATACCTAAGTAGTATGCCAATCGTGTGGTCAAATAAATATTGAAAAACTTTGTATCAATCGAAAACTTTCCAACAATCTCTTATTATAATGTGAGGCTAAAATCGTTGCTGGTCATAAACATTATTAATCAAAACTGACAATATTTTTTTCATAGGTACTGAAAGTATTTACGAATTCAATTAATGATCATTGAACCCATTTTACCAATAATTGTTTTTATTCCATGACATATAACCTCATACACGTGCTGGCAAGTTATCAATTAAGCTATGTTATAGTCTTGTCACTTCTCTACTGACTAAGGTTATGAGCTCAAAAACGACATTATTGTATTCCCCGATGTCAACAGAATTATCACATAATAGTTACCACAGGTGAAATCAATAGAGTTGTTGTGGTATTAGAATTGGAAAAAATGCAACATCACAGCCAACTGGCTTCAGGCGCTCTATGGCTAGTGTCTATTTTTTTTACAGGCCTCAACTTACAACTGTACCAACAGGGAATAAGTTGCAAACTAACAAATTACATTTAAAAAGGAATTCAATGAAAAATGTACACACGGGTTTACTAGAACTTTATTGAAAGGCTCTCTACTATTTACCTTGATTAGGTTTTTTAATGAGCGAAAAAACTTCACCTCCAAACCTACTTGCCGTGGGCTACGCCGCCATTGCTCTGAAGTCTAAACGGCATGGCCGGTTTGCGTTTTTGCGTTTGCTCTGCATCGCCGCTACAGCGCGCACCTAATATAGTACAAGCCATTCCGCCAATTATGAAAATTATTTCACAATTTGTCAACGTCTCCTATTTCTCTTATTTCAACAGAAATTAGAGCCCAGGATAAGACAAATAAAAGTAAGCGGTACCTTTATTACATTACTGTTTTTCTTTTTTATCCATTTCATTTGCTCCATTTCCTTCATGTTTTCTCCAAAATTAATTATTCATCAGCGTTGCCATGATGATGAATGTTAATATTAATGAAAATAATACATGCAATTTGATTGAACAAATTCGAAAATATATCACGAAATGATTTCCTAATTTTGAATATCTGTGCTTAGTGATTCAAATTTGATTGCCAATAATTCCAATTGTAATTTATGTCGGAATTCTCTCCAAAATCTGACAGAATAATCATCAAATTTCATACAACCGAGAATTTTCGATTTTTTGCATGCACTTTCATCAATTTTTATTCCCGTGTAAAAGGTCTCAATTAATTTGTCTATGCAAATTATCAGCGGAGTTCTGATGGTTTTCCACTTAAGTTGAGAATATTTTCATTCATGATCCTGACTGTTCCATTCAAGACTTCGATTAATCAGAAACTTTAATTCTTCATCTACAATCGAATCAAATTTGGCATACGATTTCCAAATATTACTAATTGGGTTTCATATGAGAAGGAAAAATTGTAGAATAAAGGACATTTTTTTTCTATTTTTATTTTTATCAATCTTAGTGCAGCCGCGACATCATTGATGTCTTTTCATTAGACTTGCTCTCCATTCTTTTTTTTTGAATTTGTATCCAAATTAATTAGTTATCATCGTTCTCATTTTATGAAATATCAGTCAAGCTCAATTTCAATTCATATTCATATGCATATTCAATTTCAAAAATTTAATAATTGATCTATTAATGCATAATCGCTAGGCTCACTGAACAACATTTTTCAAATAATTTCGAACTGAATTTCATTTAAAGGGCACCTATGTAGAAATTTCGTATAATGCAAATTGTCTGGTCCTCACCTTTTCCGGTATTGCGCCAACTTTGAATTCCGATAAATCATCTGAAATTTTCATTATTTTCTATAAACTTCAGTCACTTTTGTGATTTTTACTTCTGAATGGAAGCCGTCTAACCGGTCGGTTTTTCAATTCGCTAATTTGACTGGAAACGAAAAAATATAAAATTTTAGTACCATATATGTATTGGTATACGAAAATGAATGTTAATGATTTCAAGAAATTTTATTAATCAAGATATAAAAATAACCCAAGTTCCAGGTGGGAGGTTCAAATTTCGGCACATAATTGTGGGTATCGCTGCAAAATGCATTTCTGGGCACAATTCGCTCAATCCGTAGAGTAGTTTCTAAAATGCGGCAATTTTTTGGAAATTTTTGATTATCCCTGTCAAAATACGGGCTCCGTTAATGCAATTTTTTGTCGAAAACTTCTTTGTAATGATTCTGTCACATTCGTATACGAAAACCAAGTGTTTTATTTTTTATAATTATCCTCCCTTTTTCAAAATACGATTCTTATGCAATATTATATATTATATAAATTTTCAGTCGATGTTGTTTTCGTTCGCCCAGTTTATTTGATCCTTTTGTAAAATTATTGAAAAAAAATCCGTGGAACGCGAATATTGTAAATAATTTTATATCATTGCGGCCGGTGAAACACGTTTCAAATCTCGCTTCGCTCGGATAAAAACGCGTTTTCGGCCACAATGACATAAAATAGCATCATAGCCACGGCAAAAAAAGTGATTCTGACTCATGCGCGTTATAATCCTCGTCTCCGGACTATAAAGTCGCATTCGTCAGATTCCTTTTTTCCGTCCTAGGCGTGAAAAATACTATTTCGCGCCTAGGATGGAAAAAGTGAAAAAGCATTTTTATCCGAGCGAAGTGAGATTAAAAACGCGTTTTACCGGCCACGATGACATAAAATACTATGTTAGTTTTTTATGGTCTTCCTTCGATTTAGTCCTTAGTAATATCTATAATTTGACGACATTTAACCCTTCTCGGAACAACTTTAGCCGTTTATTCTTTAAATTTTCCAACAGAGTGGTCAATGTTGACCATGCACACATGCATAAATGGTGCTCAAGGTTTTAGTTTTACGTTTCTCACCATTCTACATAATTTTCTAATAAAATTACAGAATTCCAAAATCGGACGATGACAAAACTCCCGTTCTGCAGCAAAGATGAAACTATTCAAATACCCATGAATTGATGAAACTTTGCCTTAGCCAAACAATTTTGATGTCAATTTCAGGGTAACTTAATATTTTTTCACCGAACTCTAAAATATCAATACAGATTTGGGCATAAACCGAGCAAATCTCACTATTATGAAAAAAAAGAATCGCTATGTTATGGTCCATAACTATTGATCGAGGAATAGCTAATGTAAGACTTATCATACACTATTTGGAAGAGTTATAAATTCTCTGCAAAATCATATGTAGATACTCCAGTCCATAGATATGCAGTTCATTTGAGAGCATCAAAACATCCAATCAAAGTTAAATTTTTAAGTAAACTGAAAAAATTGATTTTTTTAAGTGAATGAGTGTAGGTTGTCATTTTAAAGCTTATTTAAGAAGGTTCCTAATAAGTATGCAACAACTATATTTGATATCATAATAAGACGAACTTTACTACAGAATGGACGCGTGCTTAGCGCGCGCTAGCTTGATTACACGGTTTTGATGCTATGCGAATCAACTACTTTTGATAGTTACCTTATTCTATTGGCAATTTCTTCAACAAAAAAAGGAGTCCCAAATTGTAATAAAGTCAGTCATTGGGAATAAAAAATTGTTTGTCTTCATTCCTGGTCAATTTCAAATCAGTATCTTTATTAAAATTCTACAACCATTGGAATTTCAATGTCAATTCTCTGAAATTTTCATAGAACGTTATTTGAACTATAATAAAATTATCGATCAGAGCTCAGCGCTTCGTTACATTGTCGATATCGATTTTTTCGGTTCCTCATTTTTAAGCGAGGATTCAACCGATCATAATATTCTTGAAATAACGCTTGGACAAAGTTTCATGGTGTTTGAGAATGAAAGAATTTCTTATTGTGAAAGAACTTCCGTGATAAACACCCGGAATGTCTTCGATCTCAGATTTGAAGACCTTCATGGAATCTATGAACTGAGATGTGATGTCTTGATTCGCCATGTTTAAAGCCTCTAAACATATCCGAAGCCGTAATTTATGGCGGGCGACATACCAGAAAAAAAATATTACAATTTGCCATAACTTGAGGAAAATTCAGTTGAATTATAATTACCATGAAGAGCAATAAATGCGGTAATGGACCCGAGCGAACGGGTTTGTTGATAGGGATGAATCATTGATAGATAATATTAGAAATTAATTTCTCTCAGGGGGAATTAACTCTTTTAGAAATTAAATGATATATGAAATAAATAAAGTTTTTTGTCAGATCCCGTAGGCATCAGCCATTATAAGTTACAAGAAAGTAACTTAACGCATCGTCGTATTACTAATTGACTGTATCGGACTTAAAATCATAGATCAATGGATTGATTTATTTAACCAATAGCTATAGAAACACCTGAACCTAAGGAGACATTCACCAAAACCACCGTGAAAATGAATTTCATCGCAAGAACTCCCCATTAACAGATGGAAATTTCTAGAATCGCATATAATTATGGTGTCAATGTCAAGGTAATTTAATGTATCTTTACTCAAGCACAAAGCATAATTGTTGGCGTGTAACATGGCAGAGAAAATTAAACTAGTTGCTATAACTTAATGAGAATTCAATTGAAACGTAATTCCGAGATATGATTTTGAAGAACAATAAATACCGGTCACAATGATATACGAATGGATTCATTTAGTTGACCAATAAATATAGGAAATTACAATTCCAATTCAATTAGGAACGACAAGCGAACATAATAGCGGCATAGTAGGAATCATTGCCACATTTTTATGGTGCTTGTTGGACGGATATATGCTTAGCAGGTGATTAACGGATTTTTGGATGGAACTAATTTTAATCATTCGACAATAGTTTAGGATAGTTTAGGAACTAATAGTTTATTAATAATTTATTATTTTCTATAAGGCGTATAGTTAGCAGATAGTACTATTAAATATTGATTAAATCGGTTTTAAACGATGTAAAATAATTTGGGAAGACTAAATAATGTGGATTTAGAGTTTAGGAATCGACAGTTTTTAGTATCCGCGACTGCTTTATGGACTCTTTTGACTGGTATATGTGTATTTTGATAGAATTCCGGTAGAGGGTTCTCGGGGTCCGAAACTTTGATCATTTCATCTCAAATGTAATTGGGATTACATTTGATCTGTTCCTGATCTGTTCTGAAATCGAAAAATTTTTACACAATTCAGGAAAACATACTGTTAGCGTGGAAAATGGATTATAATAATATTATTTATATGGAAGAAGTAACAGTCTCTGAAACCGCAACGTTGGAATCATTTCATTAGATTCCTGATTAGAAAAAAATAAGATTTCATGGACGGTTCAGTAGTATTCTTTATAGCCGAGACAATTAAATCAGTTTGAGAGTGGGAGAAATAAAAAAATTAAAAAATAGGACGCTTTTTTTAATCACTAAATCGCAAAAAATGAATGTTTTTTATCTGATTTCTCTATATTATCGATGAATAAAGCAATTATAATAATTCAATTCATTTAGATCAGAGAGGAATCGAATGATTGAATTTCCTTAATGGGTTTACTGGGTTTACTAAAATTTTGTGCAATTAACGTTCATTATAATCAATAGCCATGATCTATTGATATTCTGAAGTCTAATAAATAGAATAAATAAATAAATAAATAAAGCAACAATCACAAAATAGTCAAATAAGTCAGAACAATAAAATATTGAACAACTGAGTCATGAGAC